AACAAGATTAAGTTCTGAAATTGTTAGTAAAATTTTATTTTTAAAGAGAAATGATTTTTATTGTAAATGATCAAATTTATATAAATAAAAATTATTTTTAAAATTTCTAACTAAATATGGCAATGATGTTCGATCCATAACCGGTTAACCGGTTAAAAAAATAACGGTTTAACAGTTTATTTAACCGGTTAAAATTAATGGTTAACCGGTTAACTGAAGGTTTTCACAGTTAATTAACCGGTTAAAGAATTTTTAGGCGGTGCCAATCTCTACTATGTAAGCGTCTCTGCCAATTAGCAGTGAGACATAAAATAATTAATATTGCATCAGATCATTATAGTATAATGAATAATATACCAGATGCAGTAGCAGAAATCATAGATATGTACAACATATTTGACAGCGGTGCCGATTCCGATTCTGATACTAAACCCTAACCTAAATCTCAGCCTAAGAATAATCCTTTTGATGTCCTAATAGCGGAAATAGATTCGATGTTAGCAGAAATGCGTAGCTAGACTATCTGGATTTATATGCTGTATGCATTGCTGTGGTTAAAAAAATAGGTATATAGTCATAAAGTGTTTGTGAAGCAATAAGCTAGTATTTCATATTATTAAAAACGTACATTGATTCAAACATTTTATTTTTTGCCGAAGAATCATGCTTCCGCATCTAAAATCACCCATATGCAATAAGGGCTAAAGAACGCTCTTTTAGTTCATTTTTATATGGTGTAGTAGGGACGCCCATAGCCTCAAATTTTTGCTTGTATTCTAGGAAATCCACTTCAGACATACTCTCACGTTTTGGTTTCCAGTAATCAGAATTATCCCGCAATTCAAAAGCAATATTTTCTCTCCACTGTTCTAGCTTTTCTTTAGACATTTTAAATTTTTGCTGTAAAATCCCAATAAGAGTATCTATATCTGATTCATTTTTGATGATAAGTTCCGGTATTTTTGAGAAACAATTTATAATATTTTGAATCTGATCATCTTTTAAGCTCGAAATAGCGCTTGCACTATAAGATACTTGCCTAATTTTATCTATTCCTATTCCTTCAAACAATATATAAACTTTTTTAGCTTTGAAAGTTCTATTACGCAAGTTTACATCGGGGGTATCAGGAAGAAGTAATCTGATTTCATTATATACCAAAGTTCTCGCTGATTGGTCATCGATTTTATTCTTGAATTTAATATCCCTAACTCGATCTTCATATGCTTTAGAGAAACAATACCAGTATAGATTCTCTTTTTGTCTAGTTTTCATTGCCATATTAAACAAATCTACTATAATCTGAGCCGTAATTTCATCAGATCCTGCTAATATTATTTTTAGAGGAAGTTCAGGGATTTGCACATCTATGTCTTGCGTAGCAATATTTCTCTCAGCACAAACAGATAACTCATGAATTAAGCCTTGTTCTACTTTCTGATTATAAGATTTTCTGATCAATGGACATTGGCTTCGATTGAATAGTTTTTTTGTCATGAGTCAGAGTGGATGCGGTATCTTGGGAAATTATTTTGTGAGAAATGGCGCTCTGTACCTCAGTTGTAGGATTCTCAGAAGAGAAAGATGTTTTTTGTATCAATTCTTGATCTCGAAATTTCTTTTCCCTATTTCTCTCCTTCATCATATTACTAGCCCTTTCCTTTTCCGTTAAATCTAGAAAATCATCAATCTTTTTATCTTCCAATGATTTAGGATCTGTACAAATGGGTTGACATGTTTCAGAAGAAACAGGTATTTCTTCACTTACTGAAGTCGTGTTATTGTCTTGCAAGCTCTCTTCCTTGATTAGTGAGACGTCGTATTCCAGTTTAGCTATAAGGTTGCTTTTTTCTTTATCTCTCTGTTCTAGATTCGTAAATCTGCTTTCATGTTCTTCTAAAGCTTGTTTTAATTTTGCATTTTCGGCCTTGACCTTAACATTCTCTTTTCTAAGTTCATCATTCTGCGCTAGGAGTTTGGAATTTAATTCCTTTAACGAGTCTAAAGATTCAACAATTTCTGATTGAGTGTTTTCCATTGTTTTTTATATGTATAAAAAATAGATTTATTCAAATTGTAAAAAAAAACATGTGCGCGTTTTAAATTAAAACACTGATCATTTTGGTAAGAAAAAATATTTAATGCCGTGTAATATTATGCGATCATTAGATCTTCTCTGTTTTATGAATAAATAAGAGGTATCTATTGTTGTTGTATAAAAACAATTAAGCTTATTTTTTAACATCGAATGAGGACCTACATATCAGAGAAATATTATGATCGGCAAAGGTAACAGATCGCCCATAGAGAATAAATTGATCCCATTCATGACAAATATTGCTCTGAAATTACTGATTTATCGATTGTAGTGTTTTGCATATTTAACAGAGTGATCTGTGGAAAATACTAACATTATAAAAACAAAGCATTTCCTGTGAGTATACCATGAAGACTTATACCAAACTTGTAAAAAATTCGTAAATATGGAGATTTCATGCCTCAGAACTCTTG